AATAATAATAATAATAATAATAATGATAATAATGATAATAATGATGGTAATGATAATGATAATAATGCAAAATTCAATGATACCAGCATTGACACGACGTTAATAAAGCTGTTTATTCTTTTACCCGTTTTGTTTTTGATTATGTACGCCTTTATGAATGGACATTTTGGCGGGAAAATAAAATAAGTATCACGCTAGTCTGTGTTAACAGTGAGATGTAACAATAAATATATCTCTTACAAGAGGAACATGAAGAATAGAATGCGTGACTAGTCACCATAGAAAATATGCGTCACATCTCTTCCATATCAGGCGAGAGAAAAGACAATTGCTGCTAATGAACGCACGCAACCGAGCCTGCGTAGATGATACAAGCTTCTGTTTATGTTGATGTGCGCCTCTAAACGAGCTCAAATATTTAGCAATTAGAAGATGTGCTCAGCCATACATATTCAAGAGCAAGTAACTAAATAAGTAAGTTCTTGAGATGTAAGTGTTCAATTCCTGGTGAATATTCGACAAGATATTTTAGACTCAAACCATGCTCGATGAATAGTTCAAGAAGTTCCTTCAGTTCTTGAGATGTAAGTGTTCAATTCCTGGTGAATATTCGACAGGATATATCGGACTCAAAGCTGGTACGACTATAAACCATGCTCGATAAATAAATAGCTCAAGATATTCCTTCAGTTTACCAAGGCAAAGGTAAGCCATGACTTTAAAATGTAGCTCATGAACTCAAATTTTGTTTCATGGCCTTGAAACTATATATTTCAAAGGAAATACTGTTCAAGTGCCAGCGAAATCTTGCTATATTGTTGTTAACTGGGAGACCAATGATATTAGAAAAGCTGTTGTTCGTGATCAATGGACGTATCACAGTTTGGTCATTTGGCCTGCGCGAACAGAATTGCTTGGGTCTATTAAATCAACAAACTTTATTTTATCAGAAACTGTAAAGTTGAGACCCTATTAATAATGCCATTTATATTTCTTTCTCAATATATCAAGCTTATATTTTCGTGGGATCCCTGTGGTTTTAGACATTTTGGGCTTCCTTTGTCAAAGACCAGGTTTCTAAGCTAGATTCAAAATGGTGGACAATTTTGAGTATTTCTTTGCTGTAACATCTGCAGTTTTGATTCATATTTTCGACATTTTAAAACTTAAAATGGCGAAAAAATCACCAAAAAGAAATCTGGGTTTTCTTCCAAATATAAGGTAAGCTTAACAAATATGGATATAAAAATGATGGCTACAAAAAACGACAACTTTATATGAATCAAATTTATTGTAAGTTTTTTATAAGCTTTACTACATTTCGATAATTCGTTCTATCGAACCGTTTCAATGCTAAAAAGCTGATTCGGTGCTCAACGATGCAAATGCATCGGTATTAAATGGTATATATTAGGTATATATTAGATTACAACCATTCAAAATAGACGCCTAGAACCGCACAAATGTTGTCCAATGACATTGGTGACATCTCTCTCTTTCTTTTCCTTTCCGTTTGCTGGAATTTTAAAGTRATCTCTTTTCTTCTTCAGTCTTTTTTTTCTTCTTTCTTTCCTTTTATCCATCCGTCCGCCCCTCTGTCCGTCCGTCCATCCGTCCGTCCGTCCATCTGTCTGTCTGTCTGTTGTCTGCTGTCTTTATTCATTTCCTTCATTTCTTTTATCTTTTGTCTTTTTCTTTATTTCTTTATATCTTTTTCGTTAACATATCAAAGACAGAATAAGTATCAAAGTATCAAATCTTGACCTTAGGCTTGGTGCTTGGGGTCAGTGTCACATTTTTGCCTTTACCTGCAACTATTTGTAAACAAAAACCTCAAGGAATGACTAAAATACCTTAATATTCTTTTAAAAACAATAATCTAAAGTTACAAAAAATAGATACATTGAACAAGCTAAGACTGATAATGTTACAGCCATGACTCGAGCAAGTGAATGAGTTTAAGAAGTGTTGACAGGATTGGGCACCATAACAATCTTCTACGGTTACGAGAATTCTTTGACAAGGTAAAATTTGAAATTCGACTTGTAAGCTTACTGTGATCAAATGTGCTTATAGAATTATATCAGGAGCAGGTCTACCAGTATTGTTTTGACATTTTTTGCCAAAAACATAAAATAGTAGATTTTTACCAAATACTTAATTGAAAACTCATTGAAGGTAACTACGTGTTGAAAAACGTGGACCAAAAATCAAGAATTTGAAAGTAAACTTGAATGGGAATAAAGTGGCTTTGAAATTCGTTTTTTGAATTTAAACGAGATCCCTGCGGGTTTGAGCAAAACATGTTACAAAAAAGGTTAACAATATCAAAACAAACTCTATAGGTGCAAAAATTCATTCGACTTGTTTTTCTCTTTAGTGTTAAARTTTCTTGTCTTCAAAGTGCCGCCATATTTTTTCTGACATTCTATCTTCGAACCATTCTCATGTCAAGATCGACAAAATAGCCCATATCATTCTGCCATGGACCATATACCATCGGCTGTTATTTTTCTGATGTTTTCATTGGTTGCCATGGGTTTCCACAGCAATGAACTAAGCAGCATTATAGTACAGGGGAATATTACAGATCTGGCTTGTGAAGGGACCGACATGACATTGATGTGTGACTCCGGTCTAGGAATTAACGTCCACTCGGCATTCTGGGGTCGAGATGACACCATTACATGCGCGACAGAGGCAAGGAATGCCAAGAAGACACCTATTCCTTGTACACCCTTGTGTTCGTCATATCCAACAGAGTTAGTCAAAGATATGTGTAACAAGAAGCAGTTTTGCCTTTTGTTTGCCTCAGCTGGTATATTTGAGCTGCCCAAATGTTGTCCTAGTGTGATGAAGTATCTAAAAGTTCGATATGACTGCAATCAAATGACTGGACAATAAGTGTTGTGCTGCCTTCCTGGATAACAAGTACTGAGCCCTGGAAACTGATCTGGTTTGTTCTATATTTCCCCATCAAAACCGTTGCGATAATCTTCAAACCTGAAAAAAACTTTGGACTGATTCAAGACAGGAGATGGCTTATTCACAGATCAACTTGGAATTTAGCTTGTTAGGCTTTGCGGTTTGTAGGGGGATGAAAACCGGAGAATCTCGAGCATAGCCCTCAAATCAAGGGAGAAGCCTTACAAACTCTACTCACATGTGATAGCGAGTTTAATCAATCTTGGGCGCGAAAGGTAGCGAGTGCGTTACCCTACGTCACCTTTCTCAGCATTGATAATCTTTCCAATTCTCTGCCACCTGTGTGCAGCAAGAGTAAGAAGATCTTTACCACTCGATGCGCAATGTTTCCATTATCCGATATCATGATACAATGATCATGTACAATTTCTACAGGTTTTTTCAGTGGGCTTGTAACCGGGAGAAAACGTCTAAAATCCGTTCAAATAAAACATTAATCTTTTCCACTTTTAAAAACTGAATGACCGTTTATAAAACAATACTGCATGACCTGTAAAAGCTTCGAAACGCGAATGTTCTCACAAAAACTATAATCTCAGCAGGTTGTCGATGTGTTAAGGGGCTGCATGGCGGTACTCTTTCAATGTAGGGGACTTATAACCGAGAGGACTCATAATAGGGACTTTAAGATTCGCAAAATCTGCGACGGCGACGTCAACCGGAAGTTTAAATTACTTGACTTTTGCGCTTCGAGTCTTTAAGATCTGTCTTCCCTGTGGATGAGTTAAACCTTAAAGTCCCTAATAATAATAAGTACAGGGACATTTCTGTTATATTGCAGAGGTGAGCTTATTAACGGCGGGACGGAGCTTATAACCAGAATTTTAGATCGACAGTAAATGTTCTTAATCTTTTATAGTAATTTGTATTGAATAAATTCTTTACACTAGAAATAAATTCTAATTTATTTGTCTCTCATTGAGGTTGGTGTTGCCTTCTTAGTCGTCTTCGTAGTTATTCTTCTTGTCCTTTTTCATGTTCTCCTTCCATTGCCATTGCTGTATGTTGCCGCTGCTGTTGTTGTGTTCAGTGATATTGTTGCTTCAACTTCTTTTTTTATTTGTTGCCACCATTGCTGCAGCTGTTGTTGTTAGATTTAATTCCTGTTGTTTGATCTTTTTCTTCTGCAGCATGGCTACTATTATGCTGCTGCTATRCTTGCTGTTAGTTTAGTCATTCTAACTTCTTTTCTTATTGCTCCTATTATTTTTAATGATTCTGCCAATCATTATTATTGCTTTTTCTGTTGCAAGTACCGTTGTCCTGTACCAACGTTACAGACAATAAACACAGCCACTTATATCCTCGTCTTATTGCTCTCTCCCAAGCAGGTTCTGCCAACAGGTGTATTCCGGTCCGTTGATCACAGTTCCAAAAATTAGAGAATTCATCTTAATGGAGATCTAAACTAAACCAATTATCAAAAATATATTTATTTTATTCGTCTCGTTTTCGTAGTACCATCCTGTTCTGTCAGAATATATTTTGGATTACTCGTTGGAAAGGTTTCTGAGATGGAGTCTTGTGGTTGACTCTTGTCAGTTTTCAAACGCGCTAAGTTTCAGATCTAAACCAAGCTGTTGGTGATACATGGCGTATAGTTTCATCCCATGTTGTATTTGTTCCTATATTAGAACCAGATTAGCGGTCATTTCGATCCCAGTCCGCTCATAGCCCTACAGTCATACACGACCTTCAAGTATTTCGCAATCCTTGGACACAAAGGTACCTCAAAGTAAGCCTCGGATGCATCGATCTCACAACGACTCGTCGCGTCACAAATATCACTCAGTTTCTTAAGCGGATAATTCGAGTCCATTGGTTTACACATATTGTTTGTTTTTTTCGAAGCTGACGACTTGCAGATAGCAGAATTATTTCTTCCCCAAAATGCTGATTGGATTTTGATTCCATCTTGCTCATCGCAAGAAAGTACCATCTTTTGKCCTTCGCAAGCGAGTTCAGACATATTCGCTCTTTTTACCCAGTCTGTAAGTTTACTTTCATGTCCATTGAGTCCAAGAAGCAAGCACGAAGAAAAACAAGCAAAAAGTATCCACACTTGTCTATTTGACATGATTTTGATTCTCTTTTCCAGTTTTCTCAGTAGAAATGAGAAACTGCCCCTGATTTCTCTTGATTGTGTCTACCAGCTTCGCTCTTGTTTTGACATTGTTATTTGACTCCAGTGGAGTAACACATTACACATTTAAGAATGAAAGACAGTTTCCCTTCATGTGGCTGGTGGCGTGGTTACCATAGCAATGCTTTAACAAATAGAATTATCACTCGCTGTCTGCTTTTGAATCGTACAGAATCTTCAAAAACCACGAGTTATCGAAAATAAGCTAAATAGAGGTTTTTTGCAATTGTGTAACATAGAGTTGAACATTTTTAGGGATGAAATGCAATAAGAAATAAATGTTAATTCACTGTAAGAAAAATATTGAGTTTTATATCAAAAGAGTCAAATTTGTTTCGCGTGAACCCGTGTATTAATGCTAGATATTTCGATGCATAGTATAATAACATAGACAACTTTTTGATAACATAAGGTACTGAAGTTTTGAAATATTGTAAATCACAGTGTAGGAATAGATACTTTACGAAATGTTATGTATAACAAGCGAATCGTTTTTTTTTTTGTTTTTTTTTTTGTTCCAATTTTCAGTGTTCTTGTTATGTGCATCTCAAAGTACTAAGCAAAGTGGAAAGTGATTTCAGAGTTGCGCAACACCGTTCCATGTCTGCGCAATAATTGCCCAACATATTTTGTCACCGATTGCCGTAGTTTGATAGTATCCCTGTACAAAAGGGATTGTTATACCTAATACGACGTATGGAAAACGGGTGCCAATAATGCAATAGGATTGCTGCAGCAATACACGAGAAAAAGATAAAAATTAACTTTAGATCAGCAATATTGGATTCAGTGGCAGCCTGATAATCAAAGACTATTAAAAAGATTTTAACCTCGAGAACAAATCCATTATTTACTTGAAAGGAAACCACTTTAATACTTTGAAAAGGTGTCATGGTCATCGCCGACGTTTCGGGCAAAAAACAACAACAACAAGACTGTGCATGCTGTAATATTTACATAGAATACAAGTTTTTTATCTACAAAAATAGCAGTGAAAATATAAGGATATATGCCAAGTTCAATAATGTTTTCAAACCAAAAAATGCGAGCACAAAAGGTTTGACAAAGTTTTGTACTTTAAGTTTTACTTTTCGATTCTGAAATGTCATTCAAACATGAACATTTATTTAAAAGCTCGCTTACTTAATCTGTTTGACCAAACCAGTTATGTTTGAATTCTCTATACTAGGGTCTAATGTCTTTTTATCTCAAGATTAACAAACTCTACGACACGTTTAACTGATTACTAGTGCAGCGAAAATGGTTCTCATTTGCGTGTCCAAAATCTATCACTGCCTTCGTGTTTATAGAACCAAAACTCATTCTATCCTTCAATGAATAACATCACTAACGAACGAAACAAAAACTAACGAAATCGTGAATAGTATAATTTCTGTAATGAAGAAATATCTCACGATGAAGAATGGAAAATATCTGGTTAAAATATTTTTAAGGAAAAATGTTTTTTTTTTCTCCGCAAAGATTTTTCTTTGGGGTCAAAAGAGCAAGAAGAGCTCAGAACGACTGTTTCAATGTCTTGTAAAGAGATACAATGACCTGAACATCAACACAACAGGTGGTTTAACTCCAAATGTCGCCCTCACATCATAACTGTAAATAAAACGACTTCGTCCAACTGGTACAACATCGAAACTAAAACCACTTCCTTGGGGTAGTAATTTTACAATCTTTCCAAGATAATTCTGATTTTTATTTCAAGGAAAACTTTATCGCATAAAATTTGAAGGAGTTTGTGATTATTTTGGAAGATTTGCTTTTTAGGTTGTTGCGCATGCGTTGCTTGGAGACGTAAGAAGCATTCCTGTGATATTACCTCATTCAGCGTTCCGTCCTATTACTTTATGAAAACAGAATCTGCGGTTCAAGGGTGTTGTCATGATTGAAAAAATATAGGATTTTTCTCGATTTTTAGCCTCGAAAAATCTGGTAAGTAATATAATAATATATCTAATTCATTACTAAATGTTCCTCTCATTATCCCACGAGTATACACTGTGTTTAAGCTGAAAACTATAGTGAAACAATCCAGAAACTCCTCATCAGAACCTGCTGATATTTGCACGGCTTGTGATCATCGTAATGACAGGAGTCCGCCTAAAAATCTTTGAGAAAATGTATTCAAAAAGAGTATAGATTTTGCCCTGAAATTTCCGATATCAATGTCAAGTATTGCTTCATTTGGTTGGAAAATTTTTTCGGAAAGTTTGTCCCATTTTGTATCATCCCTGGGGATTGTACGACCACGATAAGGTGAACAACGGAACATACTTTCGTAACTATCGCTTCGGGTGTCTTCGTCTTTGACCTGGTTTTTTGATTCTTTATTTCGCTCAAAATTCATTTCCTGCACTGTTGAAATTTCGTGCCAAGAGAGGAGCTCAGTTTTATTCTAACTTGCCTTATCGATTTGTTTTTTCTTCCTTTAGAAACCGCAGAACTTAAAGAGCCTCAAGAGAACATCAGGACTTAGGTGCCTGTYGATCATCAGGTAAATATGCTAGGAGTAAAATTAATTTACCTTATTAATAACGATGTAAATTTGCCATATACATCTAGATGTAGACTTCGTAAGAATACGTATAATATATGTTGATTTGTCGGTGAAATAAATCTAAGTCATGCTAAAATTAAAGCAAGAAAAAGATGGTGGACGCATGAATAGATTTAGTTCATGGTCAATGATTCTAGACTTGTAGTTTTTTGAAGGTACTACGGCAAACCTACTCCTTGATAAACCTTTTCTGTTTAGATGTGTTGCTAATTCTTCTACAGATTAGACCAGGGCGTCGATTTCACTTTAATATTCAATAACTGATGTTAGAATAATTTACCAGTAACATGGAGAGAAATAACGAAAAAACTGAAATAATGAAATATTTTGATAAATACAGAGCAAAAACGTGCAAAGAAAAAAGAAAATATGGATTCAAAATGCATCATATTCAAGAGCGTGCATTGCCAATCATTGATTGTTGAGGACGAAAAGCAATCGTTACGACAAATTGTACGAAAAATGTCCTCCAGTTAAAGATTAGTCATCTAGGCAGTGAAATGATTTTTTGCCTATATTGTGTGTCTTTGGTATATACTTCAAAACTAATACCAATTCATCAATTTTCTATTTTTGAAGGCAATGATGTTTGTTCGGATAGCCGTGCCAACGCTTATGCTTCTCTGCATAGTAGATTGTAAGGTAAGAGAATCTTTACTGAAATTATTTTTAATTCATTTTGCCACCAATAAATTAAGACACTACTTCACGTACATTGTCATATTGCTATTCATAAAACGTTGGAGAAAGAATGCTCTAAGTTTAATGCTCTTTAAAACTCGTCATTGCACAAGGCCAAAAGGGGTAATGTTTTAATCTCAAAGATCTGTTAACGAAGGCTGCCATATACGAGAAACATTTAGCTCAAAACCAAAACATGTTTTAATCAAGCAATTCTCTATGCACTGCATTTACATGAATAATTGTTCAAATTATACATTAGCCTTCTGTCATAGCGGGAAATTACCACGTGGTATGATCACGTTACCAGTGTACCTCTTTTTCTCACCAGGTATTTCCAGACGTACCAGACAATGTACAGCTTCGAAAAGATTCAGACATAAACTTAATGAAAGTTCTAGAAAGTATAGCTCCAGTGGCAGCAGAAGAAGATGCATCAGTTGCCCCATCAGTAGATAACATTGAAAGATTTAGAAGAAGAGTTGAGCCAAGTAATGGACAGAGTAACGAGACGGCTCCAGCTCAGCCTGCTAATGTGAATACACAATCAGGAGAAGCTGAAGTGAAGAGTGAGCAGAGTGCGGAGGCTATTCCAGCAAGTGATAAACAGGCAGAAACTGAGGCCAACAATAAACAAAACACGCAAGGAGAAGCTGATGCAAAGAGTGCAAAAAGCGAGGATGCTGAAAGTGAAAGTGCTTCAGGCTCTGGACTTCAGGCAGAAACTGAAAGTGATAACATTGCAGCTGCYATGATGCAGCAATCAGATGCGGCTCCCAACCATGATCCTCGCCATCCACCACTCTCAAAAGTCGAGGGCAACGAGCCAGTCAAAGTGCCACATCCATTAACGCCCCCGTATGTACCACAACCCCCTGCTCCTCCTCCACCACAGCCACCAGCTCCACCACCGTCTCCACCAGTCATGGTAGTTACGACCATCAAGCCAGTACCCGAAATGATTCACTATCACAATGATAGTCTTGGCAAAAGTCGTTACTCCATGCCAAGCTTGGGGAATCCAAAATTAACTAAAGACACTGGCTCAGGTGAAAGTTCTGGCACAATCAAAACTCAAGAAATGAGTGCTGATGAGGCTGCATTTGTCTCTGCTCTTCATAACAATAACGAAGCTGTTGCAGAGACTCCAAACTCTGCCTCACTTCCTGGTAGCGAGGGTGCTATCCAAGAGAAAATAGACGATACTAGTGGAGATGACCAGGAAGCGTCCTCATCAGGCGATAGTTCTGAAGACGTTTCTGCCAAAGAAAATGATTCAATTGATGATAGTGGTAGTGCTTCTGGTGGTGAATCCATTTCAGAATCTGTCTCTGATGATGGCTCTCAATCATCAGCTTCGGGAGCCATAAACAGTGAAATTGAAGTACAGAGTTCCTCTGGAGCCAACTTTCTTTCTGGTGACAAAGAAGAATCGGGAGATTCTCAAGATGAATCCGAAGAAGATCAGCTGCCAGGGAATACTGGTTCTATAAAGGATATCGAGAAGATCGAAAAGAAGGCCCTGAAAACAGCTGATGCTGGCGAAACCGAGAAACCAGTACAACAAGCAGTCGAAGCTAAGAAAGAAGATAAGCAGCTTCAGCAGTCTACGGCTGATGCTCCACAAAAGTCTGAAATTAAAACCAAAGAGGTTGAAATTACACCTTCAGGGTCTGGAATGCCACCAGCTGTTGTCACTTCCCATATATTTGGTGAATCAACTGACAATGATGACACTTCAGGCGACATTCAAGTATCTGCCTCAGGACAGCTAACTGATCATATTACACAGCCTTTCCACGATCCTAGTGTTATAAAAGAAGAACATGCTTGGCCAAGACATCCAACTGTAAAAACTACTCAAGAACAGGTTTCTGAACCAGCAAAGGTTGTAGTGAATGGTGAAGGCTCTGGTAAAGACCAAGAATCAAGCATCTTGAGTTCTATAGCGGACAGTGAATCGGGTACCGAAACTGGATCCGGATCAGGATCTGGTACTGATGAACTCTTCCAGTCTGATTCTGGAGAACAGCTGCCCGGAAGTGTAGGTGCCATGGGTCCGAACCTGATGACCATGAATAACTTAGCTGCATCAGGAGACAACAGCGATGCCTCTGAATCATCTGCATCTGGATCCGGCTCTGCTGAAACCGTTACCAGCTCTAACTACAAAAAGGACAATATTGCAAAAGTTGCTGGGTCTGCTGTAACAGAAAGTAAGACAGAAGCATCCGGCATGGATCTGGGCTTCCCAGAAGGAGCTTCTGGATCGGGAGAGGAAATCCTTCCTGGAGGAGTTGGTAATAATGATAAAAATGAAGTGCAGCCTATAACCGGCTCTGGCGAAGAAATTACATCTGGATTTTCTTCTACTTCAGATTCTGGATCGGGATCAGAGACGACTGAAACTGTGACTTCAACCAAAAACGTAAATGTCGAATCACAAAGGTCATCCGATTCAGGCTCTGGATCTGGTTTGAAATTCGGCTTGAGTCATGACAGTAAAGATGAGGAAAACACTAATAAAGTGTCCGCAGCACGAAATACCGTTCTTCCTACGAGGTCTGCATTAGACGGGGCACCTTTGAAGCCAACGAAAACTCTTCCCGGAAGTTTGGGTGTTGAGGATTCTATCTCTGCTTCCGGTTCTGGAATATCAGAAGGATCATCTTCCATCGAAACTGGTGATGCTTCTGGAGCAGGTACTGTTGAAGACCAAGAAATGCTACCACAATACAAGAAGAACCAATTGACCGAAGAATCTGTAGCTCAGACTTCTGGACAGGATACCGCTCAAGACGTCGCTGAAGAGGGATCTGGTGTGGCTACAATTCAAACGATGTCCGGAGAAACCGAACCTGTGACAGTCAAGATGCCAACACTTAATCTTGATAAAGAATCTGCAATTAAAGCTGCTTTGGGAAGTGTAGGGCTTAGCGATGTTCCTGTAGCTTTAGGCTCGGGAGTAGGATCGGGATTTGAGGTCGAGGGGTCATCTGATGCAGTTGAAGGTTCGGGTGTTAGTGGTACATTAGAGTTTACTCCAGTTACCAATCCAGAGGAAGCTGTTCTTAACGTTGCAGGCAATGCAGCGAAAAGTGAAGGAGAATCTCCTAAAAACGAATTAGAGGGATCCGCTAAGACACACAGCTCGGGAGAAAACAGGCACGATATCCCAAGTTCAGATAACCTTAATGACGAGCCTGAACCAGACGTAGAAGTCGAAGAAGAGGTAGGAATAGATCTAATGTGATTGGACATATTCATCCTAGACCACTTGTCCTTCCCATGATTGACTCTAATCCTTAATAGGTATTGCATACGCTATTGATTGCAAACGTAATAATAGTCAAGGGAATGACACGTGGTTTGAAATGGAAACCATGATAAGGCCTATATTTAAAAGTATTTAGTGCCATATGTATATTTGATATAAAACAAAATACGAAGGAATCGAAAAACTGTCCATCAGAGGTGTCCGTAAGGAGAAGTTCCACTGCACTTATTCATGACAAAAAGCTGGACCTAAAAAATAGCGTGGCAAAAATATCATAATCCTGCCTTGTTACGGTTTTCTGGAAGTATAGGGTGTCACTATCATGTGTAAATCTATAAATATAATGATTATTATTTTTCTACAGAAGGAGGGTGATGATGCTTGGCCTAAACTTGGTGACACCGTCGACCAGCAGATGCTTGACAGCTTCATGATCAGTCAGATTCTTGAACAAAATCTGACCTTGTTTTACGGAGGACTTTCGGGTCGATCAGGACCGGTAGGACCACCCGGGCCTCCAGGAGATGTCGGACAACGGGGCTTAACTGGTGACCCAGGACCTCCAGGCGCGGCTGGAGATATTGGAGCACCAGGGGCTGATGGTTCCTCAGGTGTGAAAGGTCCACCCGGACCTCCAGGACCTATGGGATATAAAGGACAAAGAGGACCACCCGGTCCACCGGGGAGAGCTGGAAGTCCGGGATCCCCTGGCATACCTGGTATTATGGGATATTTAGGACCTCCAGGACCTGACGCAATAATGCCGGTAGGTGGTGATGTTAAAACGCATAGAAAATAGTTTGCACCATGTCACTTTATAATAAAACAATGAGCGAACACGTGATGAGTTTACGCCATTTTGAAAGGGAAACCCGACATCGATCAGTGATTGTTATGATAAAACAATGCTCAGTTTTTTTAAAACAAAATGGTCTTTATTTTGAAATTTGGTAACATCACATGAACCGTTCATGGGTCATATGACCTGAATTACCAATCCAACCTCTTTTTGTCCAATTCTTCAATGCACTTATTTATAATTTTCCATCCGCTTTTCAGAATTGCTCCTACGTATGTGAGGGAGAAAGAACGTGGCTTCAATGCAAACAGTACGAAATGCTCAAAATAAACCGCGTATTCTGGGGCCGTGAGGACAACCAAATTTGCCCCAACGCACCTGTTGGCTTGACAGTCGACAATCCATGCGAAACTGACCCAGAACAAGCAATGAAGAAGGTTAACGGCCAATGCCGAAACCAACAAGCCTGTGAGATCGTAGCCTCTAATGTATTCTTCGATGAACCGAGCTGTAAGAATACCTATAAGTATTTGAAACTCTGCTACGAATGTGTCCCTGATCAAGCAAATGCTATAGACGTCTTAACAGAAGCTGGAAAGAGAAAGAAGAGAGGAACGAAACTGGAAAGTCTTATTTCAAAGATGAGAGCAAAGGAAGAAAAAAGAATTATGGATGAGTTATGGAGACATCCATTCCGGGGAAGAGCCTTTTAAGAACAATGACATTTGCTTCGCACAATTGGAAGACGTTGTTTATAATATGGAATACACACACATAAAGCTTTGTAAATAACTGGAAAGAGACGTAGTTCTATTCCAATACGAAGATGTTTTCTTGACCAGCATTTTGTGTCGGGATATTATGGGTTTACTTAGAATAATTTCTTACAGAAAAATAGTTCGACGATATTCAACGACAAACTAAGTAGTTCGACAAAATAGGCTTTATTTCGTATGGAACTATAAACGTTCCAGAAAATTAAATCTAGGAATTTGTGAAATTAGAAATTCCATGAGCAATATGCTTTGAATTGATTCCGAAATTAGTTCAGTTGAGCCGGGAAACAGGTTTTTTATGCGTGGGAAGTGTTATGACTTCCACGCTGTAGATTTCGTTTGTGGGGAAAAAATGACACGGATATGGGACAGTATTGTTAACAACCGCTGACCGTTTACAGCGTCAAACTCAGGGCGCAAGTCGTCCTGTGCATTATCTCTCAAAATGAATCTCCTCCACCACATTYTGTTTGTTGCGCGAGAAAATATCCTTGATTAGATATTTAAATATATTGTCCGTTAGGGCAGCTACTACTGCATTCAAACTCACTCTTAAGTGAGTAATGTTACAGAAATATAAAYACATAGGAATAAATAGAAAGCTGTGATTAAACACAGTTAATTAACATAAAGAGAAAATTTCTCAAATATACGTAAATAGGATTAACGAGAATCCTGATGCATCTTCAATAATCTGTTTATTTGTAAATAAGTTTCGTGTTAGTGACGTCATTGTTAAGTCATTAATAAGTTGAGTGAGAAGTGTTGGTCACGTGATATGTAACTATGGAAACAGTTCCTTATTATGGTTTGTGAACGAGGGTATTCGTATCGACGAATTTCTTAGAATAAAGGTTTTCTAAGTCTGTATTGTCATGTTGTCTCGTCGTATTCAGTAACCATTTCTACTAGTTGTAGCACGAGTGGGGTAAGAAAGAGAAAATCGATTCCTAAATAACTAAGTTTTCCCATTTTATCTTTTTATATATATGTAAAGCTAAAATGTTTTTGTTTTTACAATAGAGGCTTTGCACCATCACGTGATGGCAGCCGTGACAGGAGGCAGGAACAATTGAATCTGATCTAACCTAATATTCATGACAAAGAATTCAGTTTCCCAGAGAAAAAAACTCTATGTTGTGTCTCCTGTCATGGCTGACATCACGTGATGATGGAAAGTCTCTATTGTTAAATTGTCGCAGCAACTCGGGATAACAAAAGTCCTCTGCGACTACAAGTTTTATCGATGACTTATCATATCATTGGGATTCCTGTGGATTTGGAGGGAACTTCCTGGCTTTTGTCCCTTCAGCACTTGATTCCTCCCTATAGCCCTCTAACGTATTAGCAATAAATAATACTCCCTAAAATAACAAAATAACTCTTGTATAATCAATGTGCATTATTATTTTACTGATTTCCAACTTTTACTGTTAATTTAAGAATTCTTATAGTATTTTACCTGCTTGCTTTGATTACTTTTTTTAACTTAGATCAAGTTTATTTATCATCATCATTTTGGCTATTTTATTTATCATTGGATACCTTTTCCGTGGACTCGTTTATTTTGTGCATACTGCGCAAGTGAGTTCTCGTCCTGCGATGTATCTGCTGCAGGAAAGAGCACCGCCACACTTGCCTTCAACATTATACCACAGGGCACCACCGATATTGTTATGGGTACCTGGTACAGCTTCTGCATCTTGATCAACGCAAACGTAATCAGCTGAGTGTTTATGATCGTGATACTCAGTCATCAGGTATCCATGGTACTCTCGTGTCCATCCCGCGGGACACTCGTATGTCGCAGGGATCATCAGCTTTGCACTTCGGGTTTGAACATGGCACACAGCACACGGAGGGTCATAATTATAGAGATTACCCGGAAATGGATTGAAGTAGGGTAATTCGTATTCTGAAGCGTACACGAAGGCAGTGTTCTGGAAACCGCTTCTGTAAAGCTTATATTTAGGGCTTTCAGGCATACACAGATAGTTACCTCCTCCACCTCGATGTGTGTAATGTCCACCTCCAGACACRCCTAAGAAGAGGAAAGGTTAAAATTGTTCATTAAGCTAGCCGTGCCCTGACGTACATCTTTACCTTTGTAAACAAGTGTAGCACCAGGAGGACACGTGGTTCTTCCCCATCGTACGTACTGTACCCCTCCTGGTCCATGGTCACCTTTTGGTCCAGGCAGTCCTTGCTGGCCAGTATTTCCTGGTCTACCAGTCATACCAGGGGCACCTATTGATAACATAAGGGAAAGATGTTAGTACAATACGCTTGACTTCCAAGTTTCTAAGAGCACGAGGGACTGAATTTTCATTTTTAATCAATTTTTATTTGCCACCATTCCAGTTAAAACAACCTTGGTTGCTTGATCAGTTGCTCATCACTGAGCTCAACCGCAAGTTGCCAATAGAATAGGCCGTTTGCCTGATGGCGTCATTTGACTCCTACTATCGAGATGTTTCGCGAATTTTCTTTCTTATTCAAATTTGTATTTCCTAGAATAGTCAAGCAATTGTTGCTGATTAACTGAACAAAAGAAAGTGTGAAAGGGAGTCTGGTAGTAGAGGTCAATGACGCCATCATGCAAACGTCCTATTCTTCCTGGTTGTTACCACATGATGGTCAGTGTTTAACCACCATTTGGAGCAGATAGTGAAATTCAAAGACTTTTATCAGCTAATTGACACCCAGTAATTACTTCAGCTACTGCCGAATGGATAAGGTCCAAGTAGTTTAAAATTTTCGTCCGACTTTTTAAAGATGTCACATAGCCCTGCGGGTATTTCAAATTTTTTTGCTTGTAAATTTATTGTATCGATTTTAACCTGGACTTCCTGGCRTTCCATCACGACCATCTCTGCCTAGAATAAAAAGAAAACTGTTAGGGAAGTCATCATTTGCATCTTCAATACAACATGAAAATTAGTTCATGTACTATAGACGTAGTCACTAATCAATACTCCATTTTACAGTTCCATTCAGTGACCACGAATAATAGTTCCAAGCCGAAGTTGGAGTTGCCCCGCATAGCAAAACTATAGTTTATCATGCACGGCACCTCCAATCACGATTTGGAACTATTATTTGTGGTCACTGGACGGAACTGTAAAACAAAATATTGGAACCTGATCCATTGTTTTGAAATTGTGGCAAGTTTATTTACATTAATGATCATTATATAAAGCACGTTGGATCATTTAATTAAACAGCACGGTGATATATTTACACAAGCATCGTATGAACATAAATTACTCAATAAGAATCTCTTGAAAATACTAGAATCAACATAAACAAAGAAAAAACCCATGCACCTAAACGGCACCCGTATCTCCAGTCCTTGCTAAATGAKTTGTAAAATAATAATAACCATACAAACTACTCATCGTTCTATTGCTATACTTTCAAGAAGGTATTGTCCTTGCCTCGTAAGTATTTGATTCTTTCAGATTCCAACCAATTCATTCTAAAACGAAAAAAAGACAAGAAAGATCAACCGGAATTCACTGACAAGATTTTAAATCAATAAATATCTATAATATAGAAAAATAGCTTTTCCCTTTATTTTTGATGACAAAAAAAATGATTTTTTTGTCTTAAGAGGAAATGTTTTTCAATAATGAGCAATAATGGCAAAAAGAGTCAAAAACTAGACTTGCGTATGAGCTTTGATCCCTATTTTCGTTTTGGGTTAACACTCGAGACCTTTTTTAAACAGTTAGAAACTGATGTACTATGATAAAATGCCTGTTTGAAGCGGCATTTTCAATTGTACAAAGATGTTTTGTTGCATTTGTGTTAGAATGTTGCTTTGTCAGGCTCTTTTATAGAAAATATATAGGAAATAAGCAAATGAAGGCCTAAACCTTATTTTCGAGTCAAATTTTTGCTTTGCGTTAACACTTTGATTCCACTTTCACAGGTCATCTCCACTTCCAAACAAGTTAAATTTTCTGAATAACAAGATTTTAGCCTTGTACAACAGCCTTTCTTCAAGAAAATAGCTTTGGTGCTCACTGCTTGAATACGGAAAGAATTCTTTCTTAAAGGTAAAGGTAATGCAGAAAATACTGGGAAATTTGATATTACGAATATTGCTATGCATCATATGTTCATGGCTTGATCCAAAGGTACATGTACAAGAGATTATTTATAAAAATTCGAAAACTGAGAGAGTGCCCGTCGATTAAGAGGGACATTTTCTTGGCGCATTTTTGTGATTTGGGAAAAGTACAGTTTTTAGATTTTTACTTGAAAGTTCTATTGTCTTCAGTAATTCAGTGCTCTGGTCAATGTATTAGATTTATGAATTATAATCTTAAGAATGATCACTATCTTATGGTCCAAACATATCATAATCAATCCTAATAATTTCTAACTCCTCAAAAACAATTGAGGACTTGTCATCTAAATTCGTCAACCCACGGCCAAACCTTTTTTGCAGAGAGGCCACAATCTTGATGACATCAACCAGAGTCTTTGCTTGAGCTCTCTTCTCAAGACTTTGATCTTGCAAATCGCTTACCCCTGCAACACAAATCCCTAGAAGAGGAATCAATGCAAAAAACAGCATGATATTTTTGAGAAACATGGTGAAATGGAGAACAACTGTGGCACAACAACTCAACTCTTTTCACTTTGTTAAGACGTTTTGCTTTACATTGTCTCTTATGATATGGTTGTAACAGGAGTTTTTTCTTGTTATGCTAATCCGTATTGAGACAACTAATCGTTTAAGAATTAGACGAATAGGAAAAACAATCATAAGTGCTTGACAGGGTAATAATCCTAAGCGATAGATTATTGCAGAAATACCACCTTTTCCTGAAACAACATCGTCATTTTCTTCTTCACATTTCTACTCTTCCTCTTCCTCCTCCTCCTTCCTCTCTTCTCTTCTTTTGATCTCCCTTTACGTTTCTATTTTTTTTATTTGCTCAGATAAGATCTATTTATATGACTCACTGTTGCTCAAGCTCGACTGATGCATTTGTCAAGGTCACTGACTTTCGGGTTAGTTTTCGCTATACACAATGCTTTTCTTTACACTAGTTCGTGTTAAACAACCGTCATGTGGTTAGCTCCACGACCTCTTTTATCATATCTTTGTTGTAATACTAATTTACATAAGACAGCAAAAGAGGTGGCTATAGGGGCTAGTTAACCAGAACAAAAAACTACAGCAGCAAAACAAGGAAAAAGAACATCGATGTTGTTATGGCAACGAAGTGGTGTGATACATCGATATGCTAAATACGAGCACAAAAACTAAAAAAAGTATATATTTAAAACTACATTTTTCGTAATTATAAGATCGTCTGGCAGCCTACATCAACCATCAATAATGCAAGGTGAAAATGTCCTTATTCGAGCATCCTTGTTGGTTTACAGTGACGCGAAGATTATATGAAACACGAATAGTCCAGATAGATACTATTATAACATCGTAGTGCAAAGAAAATCGTTATTTGTCTTTAACCTTGCTAAATTCCAATTCAATCTTATTAGCCATGCCCTGACTTATAGATTAGCCTGAGTTTCAGGATTCGATCTTTAAATTTTTTAAGACAAACTCAAATAGCCCAAATCTTGGTACAGTATTCACCACTCTCCTAATCTTATGGGGATCAGCCCTTATTTTTTACAATAACTTACAAATTTCTCGCGCGCTGATTGGTTATTTTTTATCATCAATAAGAGGACAGACAGATAAAACTGACGTCAACGAGCGCGCGCTCTTTGCGTTGGTTGTTTTGATCGCTAAAAATGAGAAGTTTTTATCGTTTTTGTTATTGTAAAAAACAAATTGACATCAGATTTTTATGTGTCTGTCCTCTTATTGACAATAAATTTCGCCATCACATTGTCAAAGTAGTATGCGGCTAGGTCATGTGGATCCACACTACTTTGACAATGTGATGACGCAATTTATTGTCCATAAGAGGACAGACACATAAAAATCTGATGTCAATTTGTTAAATCGATATAAATGCCAGTGAAATGAATAAATGAACACACTCTCAAATTCAAATCATTTATAGCCCTTATATTTCTTGTCTTATAATCTATGACGAAATCTTTAATTTTGCCCCCCTTAAAGCATTTATCTTTTATCCAAATACTCCGCTAAACTCCCCGGTTACAATAGATATAATAAGAATCCCTTGACTAAAGCTATCCCGTTTTTCCGATACTTAGATAACGTCATCATTATGAACGGATCTGTTGTTGATTTACTTGGTACACACTGTGCATGTCAGTTCAAGACCATCCACATATGAACTACAGGGCAATAATCCGCAACGTCCTTCGACTGGATACAACAGTGCCCCGTGATGGCCGGTACTACTTCCTGAGACGTACTCCGCATCCTTGTCTACGCAAATAAACTCTGTGGGATGCTTTTGACTGTAGTGTTCGGTCATCAGATATCCCCAGTACTCTCTTGTCCATCCCGCGGGACACGCATAAGTTGCAGGGATCATCATCTTGGCACTTCGTGTTGAGAYGTGGCATACAGCGCATGGGGCGCCACGATGGTAAAGGTTAGTTTTCGTGAGTGGATTCTTATTTTGTCTTTCATATTCTGCACCGTACATATACCCGGCCTCCTGGTGGCCACTTGTATACCTCACATATCTGGGGGTCTCAGGAAGACAGACATAGTTCGTGCCTCCACCAGTGTGAGTGTAATGTTCACCTCCAATGCGACCTTGAGTACGAAATAATGGAGGATTTTAAAGTCTGTTTGGGTTTGGGTCTCTCAGACTTTTAAAGTGCTAGTCTTACGAAAATGACACCGTCCCTGGAAATTGTATCATATAAAACTAGATATGTAATATAGCTTACTGTCCAAATTCTTTTTTGATACAAGACTGGGAAGATGCTGTATTTAGCCGGAAAGTTTGGCCGTTTGAGTCCGCCATTAAGCGATTGCGTTCCTGGCAACTTTYAGTGATTCGAAGGAAGTGACGTCATACGTGCAGCCCTCCAAAATTCGCGGCTTTTAACAATGTGTAATTGCAACCAAATTTCGAATATTTTTGATTAAAAAAAAAAGCCTTAAACCAAGTCATGTCTTCTTACAGAGAATGCTGTAGAGTCAGTTTGGATAAAACGGATAAAATTTGCTCAGTCTGATTTTTTTCACATAAGTAGAACATTATGTGAACATTTAAAAAAAATATAAACTAGGTTTTGGAAAACATTGTAATAAAGCCAAAAATGCCCTGCGCCCGCATTTGCTATATAAAATCTAGCGTAAACACCATGAAAAATGGTTCTTTGAGTACAAAAACTAGCGAATTCTTTGTAATGAAAACTCTTATCATGTTTTGGGTGTTCTCTAACACCAATAAAATTGTTTTATTGGCTAAAAACAAAGATAAACAAGCCTAAATTTACCTTTGAAAGATCTTCTTGTCAGCCGAACTTCCTCCACAAACGGTCCGCCATTGTTGACAGGCAGAGTAGTGCCCATGCCCGTTTCAACGCCCTCCCTCCACCCGCCCTGCAACTAGCTTCCAGACCTAGCGCGTTCATCGATCGCAAGCTGATCGAAATCAATCTTCTCCTGAGTGCTTCTAGCGTTCCCTTTTGTATGCAAATCGCAAAGACCTAAATGACTTTTGATTGTGATGGCTGCTTGTCAACTTAAACATTGCGCTTGATATCAAAAACAAATGA